AAGGTACGTGATCACTCACACACCACGCTAACTTAACGTTTATTCTAACTTTTTTTTTACCTTTTCGTACTGAACTTACTACTTCTTTTTTTGCAGTTGTATCATCTATATATATATATATATATACCTTGTCCACCCAAGGCCTCAAACTTTCAACAAACTAGGAGACACTATGATGTTATAATACTCACATAACAAGAAAATTTATCGCCTTTAAAGTAATTCATTTTAACACTCTTGTTATGAAAACTAAATTAAATATTAAATCAATAAATGAACTAAATAATAACTCTTACACTAAACAGTCTTGTATATCCAACAAGTGGTAAACATGATATGTACATATATTGAATTTATTGGTATATCTAGGCAATCCTGTCCACTATATTATAAATTGTGATGTGGAATATATTTGCTCAGATTGAACAGAAAATCCAAGTTGTTTGAATAAATAGTGTCTACACCAATCGAATATCCTTCAAGTCCATTGGATTTAATCAGCATAGATAGGTTGACAATAGCTGGTAGAGCTTGTTACAAAAAATAGCTATTTTCAATGATAGGTTATCCCAAACATTTTGTCATATTTCCTGTTTCCCTATCATCTGTAAAAAAACATGGAAACAGATGCAAGATTTTTCAATTAAAGTTTTTTCCAAACTTTTGTTGAGTGTAGATTTATAGTAAGTTTGCAGCCTTAGTAGGCTAGATCAGTAAACCATCTTGTATGTCTTTGCATTATGTATTATTCCAATTTTTCTTAGCAAAATGTTATAGGACCAGTAATGAGGAATATCACCAGTTATATATATGTTTTGCTCATTTTGCTGTTTTTCATTTGATCTTTAGTTAGATCTTCTAATTCTTGAGAATGAGACTGATAAATTGTGTAGCCTCCAAACCTCTATTCATTAAATATGTTGCATTTTTCCTATTAATATTTGATTATTGGATAAAGGCTGCAATGAAGTTAATACAAGTGTTACCATGTTTTTGACTCCAGTGAATATCAGAGAGAAGGTAAAAGCTTGGACTAATTTAAATGTTAAGAATTCATTTATTTATTAAGAAGAAAGAGTTGTATGAGTTTTTAGTTATTTAAACTTTAGCATGTATGTGTGAGAAGAAGAAGATTGTAAATTAATTCAACATTGCCGACATAATGAGCCCTAAAGTAAGAAGTTAATAACTTTCTTTTAACACCTATATGTATGCATAAAAAATTTTTATGATAAAAAAGCACTTGTAAATGTGTGTCTTATTTTGTAGATTAGAGAAGTTGAATTAACGTTTGATAGGTGTTACACAGAACCAGAAACTACCATACACGTGATGTAATCTGTTGCTAAACATGATCACTATTTATAAGTCTCAAAGTGGGTTCCTCGTCACCGAATTTGAATGATCACTATTTGTTGAAATATTGTTATTACTGGCACTCTATGTAAAATGTGTATATGTTAGTGTTAGTTACTACCCCAGGTGTGCATACGTTTAGGATGCTTAACACAGGTAGCATAAAATTGTTGTATAGCTTATGTGTTACTGGAATGAAGAATTGCTAGCAACTCAAAATAACATTTGTGAGGTTCATGTAAATGTGAAACAGTGTGACTTACATTATGTGAGCTAACTTAGGTACTTCTTAGTACAAATATATATATAGTGGTATATACAAACACACATAAAAGTTTAAATATGGGTTTCAGAAGGCCATCGAGAGCCATCATGGGTTCTGGGGTAGAATTGTAATGATGCTGCCCACATGCATAAGTGATTGAAGGCATGGTTAATGTTTGCTTAAATGTTCTGTACTGATTTGATACATTCTGTACACATTTTTCTTGATACTCTCATGGACACAAAGGAAATATCCCTGGTCTTCCCATATCTTTCCGTGGGCCTAGGTTTCAGAACAATTCCATTAACTTTCATTGCATATGTTTTTATCTGTACACTTAGAGACATCTAAAACAAATATTTTAAGAGGATAAATATAATATTCTGATGTTATTCTGTCAGGTGATAGGGAGTACCAAGGTGTAACTGATCCATTAGAAATGGTACAAATAGTACGTGAACATCCAGAAGTGGGGTTTTTATATCTCACCAAAGCTGTGCCAAAGTCTTCTGTACACTACCATCCATACAGTCTAAAGTAAGTATTTTTAGTTAATTAAATACTTCTTCTTTTCATTGGTGTTTCATTACAAAGTTTTGTTTCCCCTTCACTGAGTATTAATCCATTTGCTGCAGCTGGGATGTATATTTCCCAGTGCTCCCACCCCCTCACACTGCAACTGGGACAAATGTTTTCCATTGTCGATGCTGTTTACACCTTCCTCTACTGGGTCCAGGTTTATCATCACTAGATGGAGAGCTAGCATCCACTATTCATCATCATGCATTTGAACACCTCTACTGGGTCCAGGTTTATCATCACTAGATGGAGAGCTAGCATCCACTATTCATCATCATGCATTTGAACACCTCTTGACTAACTTTCACTATCTTCTAAGCTATCCGAGTTAAGCACATCAAGCATAATTACATAGTAATTAGGGTTACCATTCGCTGCACTAGCGATGCAGGCACGGGCGGCATGCAGTTGTCATACATTCTGCTCAGGCATCTTCTTGGTTGCTGAAGGATTGAGTGGAAAACGTTGAGAGAAACCATATATCAACATTAGGTTGGATGGCAGTAAATACTTTCCAACTCATTTTACTACCATACATGCTGCAATTTTGAATGACAGTGGGAAACATTTGTCCCAGTTGCAGTGTGAGGGGGTGGGAACACTGAGAAATATACGTCGCAGCTGTGGTGAAAAGGTTAAAGATAAAATTGAATATTTTTGATAGCTTAGTGTCTCTGTTCTATTTATATAAGGATTTACACAATATCATTTAATTGTAAAAATGGTAACAAAGTATCTGTTACTTTAATTTTGCAGCATTTTGCTGCTCATCCTTGCTATCAAATGAAGTTAATATCTGCCATAAAGTATATATATATATATATGTTGTCATTCTTATTGTGACATATAACATATTTTTAACACAGATTTTTACAATGCATATAATTGAGTAGCAAGATAATACACTCACATACAGATAAGTATCCAAAAGACATATTCTTAATATAAATTTAATAATGAATAAAATGTGGGTTGGTTTGTTTTGAATTTTGTACAAAGCTACATTAGGACTATCTGTGTTAGCCATCCCTAATTTAGCAGTGATAGATTAGAGGAAAGACAGCTAGCTAACACCACCCACTGCCAACTCTTGGGCTACTCTTTTACATCTGAAAGCACAAGCAAGTTCAGTATGACAGGGATTCAAACCCATGACCCACAAATTGTGAGTCGAATGCCCTAACTACCAAACCATGCTAGGCCTAATAAAATGTGAGAATGAAATGAGCTTACATGTAAAAAAAAAAGTACAAACTAAATTATTATTCATTTAAGGAAAAAACGATAATAACTTACACCAGACTGCCTTGGATGCATAAGAAGAAACTGTTATTGACTGTGCATGCTGCATATCTAGAAGCTGTGCTTTTCATACTGTAAAGCAGCGTAAGCATCATCTTTCTTCTCTCAATGAAATACTTCCAGGAACAGTTGGTTAGCAACCAACTAAAGTTAACATTAAAGTTAAAGTTCAATAATGAATATAAATGATAGCTAACGTCAGATATCATACTTCATCTATATCATGGCTATTCCACCAGGTGGACACAAAACTAGAGATACGTAAAAGCATTCTGATGCTGATATCACGCAGATGGCTAAAACTGATGATATACATATTAAACAAGACAAAAATGACAGTGCCATCATATATCATGAAATTTCCAATAAAAAGAATAAAATTTTTACTATTATACACAAAATTTAAATATAATTTCAGAATTTTAGTTAAAAATAAACTAAGTAGGTTTCAAAGTATTGCTCTAAATGTTACAAGTTTATTATAGCATCACAGGAAAATCAGTATCAAGCTTTCCTTCCCATAAACTGAATATTTAATAATTCCTTCATTTGGTCCAATCAAGTTGAAAACTGTGTTATCATAGAATTTTGCTTAAAGAACTTTACAAATTAGCAAACAAAGCTGTTACACTCTATCTGTTTCAATTTCACATAAATCAGTAAAAGGTTAATTAACAAGCAAGAGGAGAGACAAATCCTGAGAACATAAGAGCCAAGTGAAATATTTCAAATACTAGTATGTTGTTCTACTGTTAATTCCTCCATAAGGTGATTTAGTTTAAAGCTTATTTTTTAAATTTTAATTTTATATACAATGATATAGCATAATTTAAAAAACATTAAAAGTTCTAATTAAAAAACTGGCGAAAAATTTGTCATGAGGTATTCTGGATGATATATATTCATTGATATAATTTTAAAGCTAGTATGTCCTTCTTAAGTGCTAAGGTATTTTTAAACCAATTCAGTATAATACATTTAGTCAAACTTTTTCTAGTTTACTTAAGAATGATTGATTTACAGTATCAAGTACCTGTGAAAGGTTATCAAGGCACTTTTTACATACTTTGTCACTATTAATTTATTTTCTGTTTGTTTGTTTTTTGAACACATTTTCATAATAAGTAAACTTTATGTATATATATATATACATATATATACTATTCTCTATATATGCCTTGTGGTTAAGGTACTTAACTTGTAATCTTTGAGTCACGGAACCCAAACCCAGCACTGAACAGGCTCAACGTTTTAGTCATAGATGTATTATAATATGGTGGTCACTGTTACTAATCATTGGTAAATGATTAGCCCAAGAATTGGCGATTGGTGCTACGGAATGGTTGCATTCTCTCTGGTCAGTACTTGAAAATTAAGGACAGCAGCAGATAGCCTTAGCAGCTATGCCATAAACAAAACTAATAAACTGCATTCTATGTTCCACAAATTTTGATTAAATGAGTTTCATCATATTTCAAATGGAAGTGCATTTAACATGTAGTCAACTAGAACAGTAGAAATGCATCACAGTGTTTTAACAGTACAGTGTGATGATTTTTTTTTAAAAGCTAATGTTTATCACTGATGCTGCAGTATAACACATTTAGAAGCTGAGAATCAAGTTGACAAGAGTTAGCATCCTCTTTTTCTTATAAACAGATTGCCAGAAAACCCAGCTTTTGGTGTGAAAACGTTTCTATGGAGTATACAAATACATACATACATACGTGTCAGAGTCATGTTAATATCTTTTACTTGATTCAGCAGCAAAATCAGTTATTTTATCAGTTACAAGTTATTAATGACTTAGAAAAATACATGAGAAATTAGACTTGTTCTAAGTAGTGTAATTATTTTTATTTTGAAAGTTAGATATAACTAGCATAAAATATCTGCACTCTGCTGCAGGGGTTGAGTGCCCATATGATTCACAGAGGTCCCAGTGTACTTGTCAAGCTCCTTCATTATCCTCATTTACCCCAAAAACAAACCTCATTAGGAGTACATATAACATGCTTAATCCACGTTTAGTTTGTAAATAGAGGTATGAACACAGTTTAAAAAAATTGCATTACAGGAATCTCAAGGTGGACCAGGAATAAAAAATATTATGCCAGATTTGGGTTAATCAACCTGTAAAACTTACTCTTAGATGATGTTCTGAACACATTTTATCTTCCCTTCTCCCATCTTATCCCATTATAGGGAAGAACACCCCCTGGGTCCTTCCTGAGTAGTTTATGGATGAGTATAATATCACAAAAAGAATATTGGTCAGTTGTTCATGGTACAAGTGTTATATGAATCATATTGTGTCTATCAGATTAAATATATTAGTTTTTGTACAGAGTATCTTTGAAAAAAAACTTTCAGCTTCAACTCAGTATTACTTCATGTTATTTACAGGGTTGTTAAGTATCAAGACATTGACAAAATGAACTATTTCACTATTAGTCCCAATGGTGTGGTCCAAGTTACAGATGGAGTAGCTGAATTTACCCACTTGCACAATTGGGAAAGGGAATACAAGCTGTACTTGAAACTGACAAAGGTGCAGTGTACTTACTGTAGGTGTATTCTAAGGTGATTTATTACATCTAATAACACTTTATGTAAAAAGCTAATTTTGTGTTTATGAACCTTTGCTTACAGGGCATTCTCTTGGTTAAAGTATTTGATATCACACAGCATGTTTTTTGCTAACCTGAGTACTAGATTAATGTATATAGCAGTGAAATTTAGCTTTGGTGTTTAAAAATACCATGCAACTAATCTAATTTTTTAAACAACTGCAGACATTGCTGTGTTATATTATTATACTTATGCATAGATACATACTTATAATTTAAGGATGACGAGGAACTTGTTGGTATATCTAGGCCATTCCATCCAATATACTAAACTCTAAGAGTAAAAGTAAGACACTCAAATTCAGCCATTATTATTCAAATATTCAACAAGCTTTCCCTTGAGCTCCCTAAAATTAACTGTATCTTCCGCAGCTAAAGGCAATCCTTTCCAAAAGCCAACCACCCTGTTAGAAAAATAAAACTGTCTTAGCTGAAGATTACTCCTACCCTTCCAAAAATTTATATTTCTGTCCCCTAGTCTTACCATTTTCACCATTAACTATGAAAAAAGATGATGCATCAACATTATCAATTTCCTTTAAAATCTTAAACACTTCAATCAGATCCTCCCCTAACGTTTTTTTTTATCAAGAGAAAATAATTAAAGAGATCTTAAGCTATCCTTTTATGACAATCTTTCTATATCAGGTATCATCCTAGTAGCCCATAGCCCTCCTCTGAACCCTTTCCAACAATTCAGTGCTCTTTCCAAGGTAAGGAGCCCAAGAATGAACACAATACTCCAAATGAGGTCTATCCAATGACCTACACAATAATGTTATAACCTCTTTTAAACTTGTGTTTAATTTTTCTGTAAATACAACCTAAAATCCTATTTTTCCTGCCACTAGTAACAGCACATTGCTTGGATGGCTTAAGAATCAGAACACCAAGATTTTTTTCTTCCATAGCTCTGTTAAGATTATTCCCATCAAAAATGAACTCATAATTCAAATTGTGATATCCCAAATGCATTAACTTGCATTTATCATAATTAAAAGCCATTTGATATTTATTTTCCTAACTTACCACATAACAAAAATCCTTTTGTAAAGGAGGATCATCCTCCTGACAGCCAGCAACACCCAAAACTTTAATATCATCAATAAATTTAAATCATTTATTGACCATTCCTTCATGTAAGTCCTTGATGAAAATTAAAAAGAGCAAAGGTCCTAACACTGAGCCTCAAGGGACACAACTTGTGACATGAATCCAGCTCAAGTGAACTCCACTGATAATAACCTCTGCTTTCTTCCATCCAGCCAGTTTTCTATTCAGTGAACCAACCTACAGAGATAATTTTTTAACAAACCTTTTATGTGGCAGCTTGTGAAATGCTTTCTGAAAATACAGATACATCAAATCCACACCCATACACTCATCTACATAAGCAGTAATATTAACCTCTTCAAAGAATGTCAAACCTTTAGTAAGACAAGGTTTTTCCCCTACTGAAACCATGTTGACTATCCAACAAGCCCCCCAGTGGCACAGTGGTATATCTGCGGATTTACAATGCTAGAAACCAGGTTTTGATACCCGTGGTGGGCAGAGCACAGATAGCCCATTGTGTGGCTTTGTACTTAACTACAAACAAACTATTCAACAAAATTTAAACTTTTTTAAATGTCTTTGCAAAACATCTTTTATCATACTTTCAAAACTTTTTCCCACCATTGATAGTTAAGCATTACTATATATATTTATAATTAGAATAAATCTTTATACATTTGTTTTTACATATTTCAAAATTATTTATAATTCCTGAACAAATATTTTTTTCATGCTCATATGCTTTTATAATTTGATTTAGTGAATTATATATATTAAAATTAAAATAAAATTTATTGGTTACTCTCTAAAAGGTAAAATTTTATATCATAACGTATTCATTGAACTATAATTTTTTTTACCCACAGATTCCAACATTTGCAAATTTCAGACTTTGGAAAGCATTTAATGTGTGGAAGACAAATGTTCTTCATAAGAAGAAATTAGCTTGCATAGAGAAATTAGAGGATTCTCTTTTCATATTAAATCCAGTAAGTCATGTAAAGTTAATATTTTATTTTAGATTTATATAAATTCAAATATGACTGAAAGATTAATATTAGTTCTTAAATTATTTTTTTTAATGCAGTAAATATTTTGTTTTGTGTTCTTAATTACTTGTTTGTTTCAATTCTCAGGTCCTTCAGAAAGCATTATTCATGATACAAAAAATGTGTCTCCAATTGAGAAAAGGAAGGTTATTCAGAATAGAAAAAGGAAAGACTTGTACTCTAGAAGAATTCACCCACATGACAAATCAAGAATGTTTAGAGGTAGGAAAAGTTTTTGAGTTATGGACAAAAAGTTCAAATTAACAATATTATTATGTTTCATGTGTAAATATGAATATGAATTCTTTTGTCTTTTACTTTAAAAATTTTAATTTTATTGTTTAAAACATTTGAAACCTATTAATTTGGTTTAACAAACTAGGCACTTAATGTTTCATCTCCTATAAAATAGGATAAATTTGAACTTTTGCAACTGGAACACAAATTAGAAAGAATAAAACTGCACAAAAAAATGAAACACACTACGTCCATACCTTAGATGAGTGTATGAAAATGGCTTTGGTCCCCCCCCCCTCATCCACTATTTTACGAAATATTTGTTTGGTGTTACCCCATTTCATGTTAGGTACTACAACTTATTACATAACAACATTTGATGTGGATTTTCATGTTACAAATCAAAACTTTTTATTTTTAATGCATTTTAAAATTTTGATCTTTAATTTTGTCTAAACGTACTAAATATAATCTTTCTTATAACTCGTTTACAGAACCTTTTCTCTTCTTTTGCACTTTGCATGGCCTACCTGAGTAAGTGGTTCCATTTTATTGCACATTTTTGCATGTTTAATTGAATGAAACACTGTATCTCTACATCTATCTAGGACAAATACACTTCTATAGTAGGTTTATAAACGTATTTGTAGGGGAAATAAATAGTGTGCTTATGACTAATCTGCTATTCAAATAAATAATGTTTTTATGGAAATCCTGTGACAAATGTAACAACAGCATATTTGTACAGTTTTGTCCTTGTCACCCATTTCTTTTGATTCCTCCCTTCCCCATTTAAATGACACCTTTGGGCCAATATCTTGTTTTCTCTCCCCCTCACTGGATATTGGGGCTCATGCCAATAGGCTTGCAGATGAATTATATTCTGGGATCAGTATGCCTCAACCCCTGTATAATTTGGAAGCCCATGCTTTGGCTTACCACTGGTCTGAGTTTCCTTTTTTTACTCGTTGCAGTTGTATTCTCTTCTACCTCAGTGGGGTTTGAATCCCAATACTTTTCATATGTTTTCCAAACCTCAGTTCTCCTGTATCTGCTCATCTTATATTCCCTCCTTCATTCCCTTTCCTCTATTCTCTATTCTTAAGTCATTCTCAAAACAGTAAATCATAACAATATTCAGCTGATTTCAGTTCAGCTGTTTGTATTTACCAATGGAGAACAATGTGCTTCACATGAAGGGGGGGAAACACATATTTTTATTTTATTTTGGTTCACATTGCATTTCTTTTTTCTTTAATAATGCTTTTTTTTTGGTTTATGTAAATGTTTTTTCAAGAATTCTGTTAATTTGCCTTGTAATTGAATTACTTATTATTATTAAGCATTATGCTTTATTAATGTGTTTATTTGTATTTAGGTTAGTGAAAAATTGGTAGACTTCAGAGTTTTTCTCAAGCAGAAAGTGTTCAAAAGTTTTCTACTTTTCATGGAAAGTAAAGGATTTTATTTTGACTTACCACCATCTGAAAAACCATCAGGTAAGGTGATAAGCAAATAAATTTACTTATTGAGCCCCCCTCCCTCTTCCATGAGAAAATATATCATTGCTATTTGGCAAACATATTTCTTGAATTCAATTTAGGGAAGCTAAGGTTGAGTTGTGCCACATGATAATGATCCTTAAAATAATGTATGTGTTTTTTCCCACTTATGTTCAATCCCTCCATTAAGTCCTGGCCATAGAGTTGCTTACTGACTTTCACTTTGCTATAAAAGAACATGGGTCAGTTGAATCGTGAAGTTTACAAGACATTCAGTGCATAGTTTGCTGTACACATAATTATTGTTTGGCAGTGTTTCTTTATCTGTTTGCTTTAGAATACTAATGTTTGGTAATTATAAGCCATTCACATATGTGTAGCTGCTGCATTCCTTCTTATCAGCACTAAGATACAGATTAGATTCTAATTTGGATTGAGTTCATTAATCTTATTATACAGTTCAGCTTTCATTGAGAAGTTAAGGGATGTAGCCAGCACTATAGCATTGGTTGTTTTTGTTTCTTTGTTAAAAAATAATGTGGATATATTTTTCTACACAAAGAATTTAAGTAATTTACATGAAAGTTAAATTTTTATTAAAAATATCAGAAGATAGTGGAACGTTTTAGAATATTGAAGTAGTCATTTGTCTCCTTCCCCACCTCACAAATTATCAGAAATTCTACTCTGAAGTTTTTCACAATGACTTATCATGTAACTCTGTATGGGTCATTGATTTCTTGCTTCCTCTCTTGTTTTGATTACTTCTCCATGATGACTCTAGAAAATTGGGTAATATGTTATCAGTAAATAGATAAAAATTTGCAAAACGTGCAAGGGTAAATAATAAAAAGGGCATAACAGCAGAAATGCAAGATCCTGCAAAGTGACATAATTTCATGGTTTCTGTAGACATTCTGTGTCATTTCAAACAGAATAATAGGGATTTTACATTTGAAGATGTAGAAGTAAATAAATTGTGAAGTTTTGCAATTTCCCTCAAAAAACAATAAAGATAATGATATACTGTATTTTATGTTGTTCTTTGTATACTTCACACTTCCACCTAATTTTATCAACCAACCAAACATGAGCAGAAGAAGTCCGTAAGAAATTCTTAGTGTGCATAAATTTATGTACATCAGCTCTATTTCAATATGATGCAATGTTTTCATCGTGTAACATCAGCAAATATGATAAGGTGGGCTGCCTCCACTCTGCAAGTAATACTCAGATAGTTGAATTTTAGTGGATGTGATGCTTCAATTTCCATTGTTTCATGACCCCAGCTATTACTATTACATTTTAGATTTTTTGCATCAATTATTTTTAAATATTAAATATGATAGTTCTGTGTCACAAGGAACGTCAAGAGCCAGCACGGGCCTCCTTTCTCTCGCTCTCTCTTTTTTTAACATTTTCAAGAATTTATTAAAAAGAAGATCCTAAATTAGGACACAACGACCTCATAAACCAGACAAAACATAGCAGCAGCCTTTTTACCTCACAGTATAAGCGTAAAAACGTTAATAAAGTAACAACAAATATCTATTAAATCTATAAAGTAACAAATACATATTAATTATTACTCAATTTCTTCAAGTCAAAGAAAACAATAGTTTGCCATTTCTTGATGTATTGGTAAAGAAAAAGGAAAATAAGTTAGAAACTACTACTTACCATAAACCATGTCATACAAATTCACAAAAAATCTCAGCTTTTTATTCTTATGTGTATAGGTCCTTAAAGTTATACTCTAAACAAGATGATTTAAAAAATGAATTATTATTGATTAAATATGTAGCATTAGATAGAGGTTTCTTACCAAGTCTTGTAGATAGAGCTGTGAAGAAATTCAGTAGAATTAAGAATAATGATCAAAAAGTGAATTAAAATCAATAAAACTGAAATGGTATGTTTGCCATATGTCCCTGTTTTATCTTGCCAAATCTTTCAGAAATTTAAGAAGCAATGTAAAAATTTTATTCCAATTTACAAACCTTTGAATAAAATTAGCCAAATGTTAAGTAAAACTAAGGATGTAATTACCTGATTGGAAAAAACAGGTATTTATAAAATTGAATATGATTGTAGAAGTGTGCACATTTGTCAAACTAAAAGAAATTTAAAATTTAGAATAAACGAACATAAGAGAAATATTAAAAATCAATGTGAAATTTCTGCATTAGCTGAACATGTAAGTCATACCGGTCATTTCATTTGTTGGGAAAAAAAACTGTTATCTTGGCTCAACCGAATGATATGACTACTAGAAATATCAGAGAATTTATTGAAATAATTAAACATAATAGCAATGGCCAAACTTTGAATAAGTATGAAAGGTAGGCAGGTCAAAAAATACACAGATGGTGTGACCTTCTTTAGGGTTTGGCATATATTTATATAGTAGTATGAGTCACATGATTAACAACCTTGGTATAAATAGTTTTGGAACTGTAGTTTTTAGACTTAGCACTTCTGAGGATGACATGATACACATTGAAACATGTAGCATGGTTGTTTTGAGACTGTTAAATGATCTCAGAATAAAGATTTTAATTGTGTAAGTTAAAAACGTTGATTGTTTGAAAATTGTTTAAAATATTTTATTTTTTTAATTGAATGAGACATTATGTTTGAATGGATTTGTCTAAATGAGACTCTTGTTATGTATACCTTTAACCATTCCAAACTCTGTGCTGGTGTTTCATCAGGGGTAAACGACCTCTGGTACTAATTGATGCCTTGATCTTTCTCACCTTCTCATGCCTGTCCTTGTTTAGCATTCAAGTTACTGGAGACAAGATGACTATTCTCTATATGATGTCTGATAGTTCTAACCAGGATGGGGAACACCTTTCTACTTAATGTTCTCCATGAGTGCACACTGATTGAGTCAGTTTCATGACTTGGCCAGCTTTATCAGGTTTAGATATAGGGGGCCTTAGCCTCAAGAGCATGTCCATTTTTTTGGCTGTTACTACATATTCTACTCCTCTGACAATCTTCCATTAAAGGTACAGGACAGCACATTGAGGTTTGACCCTGAATACCTGTTTTGCCACCACTTATGACTACTCTTTTAAAATAAATTTCAAACAGGTGCTTACCTCTGAAATACATTCTCTCACACCTCCCCACTATCAAGAGATATGTGGTTTCCATCACAACTACAACTATAACATCTGGATGATGGCAAGAAAGCAGAGCTTATATACATCCTTCTTGTGGATGTGGAATAAGTTATGTAGGAAAATGAAAACTTGATAACTTTATGCACACTCTACATTCAGTTTTAGTCACTTGCTTGTTGATAGCATGAGAGCAAGTCAATAGGGAAAAGCTTTTTTTGTATTTCAGTGGTATACATAAACGTAGTTGAAATTTGTTTATATCTAAAAATGTAAATGTTTGTTTGTAGTTAAGCACAAAGCTACACAATAGCCTAACTGTGCTCTGCCCACTACAGGTATTTCTAGCATTATAAGTCCACAGACATACTGTTGTGCCACTGAGGGGCCTAAAAAGTTTGGGTTGATTTCAGCAAGCATCAAATCAAAACATTAGGGTTTGTGAATTTCCTAAATTTCTATGACAATAATGTGGCACTTATAGTCTCATAGCAGGAAAGTTGAAATAGTTTTGTTACCTGTTTTAGACATTTGCTAGTTCTCAACCTTAGTTATCATGGTGTTATGCAAATTTCCTGTATGTCAACTTTTAAAAGTTGTAGGCTAGTGTTCTAAACATGTAATGAAAGCTTTTTTGTTTGTTTTTAACTATGTTAGCCAGTGTGGTTTTATTTTCAGTGGAGACTCACAGAGATCAGAACAAAGTGATAAAAGCTTAACTTGGTGTTACATTGCTAGAAGAAAATATGTTTCTAAACAACTTTCACACAATTATAGTCCTTATTTTTGGAAAGGTTTTATCATTTTTAACTTCACTTGAGTTATGATATCGTAGTATGATGGAAAAATAAAAATATTTTGTGGAACAAGATGAAGTGGAGAATTGTCAAGCTTAATTTCTCCTCAACAGTATGAAGTTTCATTTTGCACTGACAAAATCACTTTGTTAGGCCATGTTTACATTATGTTTTATCAGCCTAAGCAACAGCTTGAATTAGCAAAGAAAAATACAGCATGTGTGTGTGTTTTTCATAGCAAAGCCACATCAGGCTGTCTGCTGTGTCCACCAAGAGGAATCAAACCTCTGATTTTAGCAATGTAAATCCATAGACTTAATGCTGTCCCACCAGGAGATGAAGAAAAATAATTGAAAATTACCGTATTTCACGGAATATAGGAACCACCCTTATGTTGAAGACAAAGTTTAGTTTACTATACTAACTTTACTAACTCCATTACTATAATTTATTTTTTTTATTATTTAGAGAGCATTATAAATAGTTATGTTTTTAAAAGAAAAACTACTATTGTTATAAATAACACATTCAATTGAACTAAACTATGCATGTCTATTTGAATATATTTACACATGGCTTGTGTATATCGTATATATATACATATATATTATTCATACCTTCGGTGTATAGGATGCAAGCAGATTTTGACATCAAATTTTAGGGTAAAAAAGTGCGTCTTATACACCGAAAAATAAGGTAAATTAAAAAAACATTTATGTGTATAAGTGAATGTAAAATAGCTTTGAAAGCTATTTAATATACTAAAAGAAACATTCCGATCAATAGTTGAAAAATTTAGCTTTCTTGTAATTTTGGTATGGTAAAATACAGTTTTTATTGTACATCAAATATCATAAACACAGTGAAACTGCAAGTGGTGTTTTTGAATCAAAAGAAAAGAAAAAGCAAAACTTACAATTTCAAAATAAAAACTTTATTGGAAAGTTTTACAAGAAAGTATTTTGACATAAAAATTAATAATTAATATCTAATATATAAAGATAAACATTTTAAATTATTGCTTAAAAGAAAATTTTGTAGAAAATATATGAATTTTTAAGGCTGAAAATTCACACAAATATCACACATAAAATATGATATATTTTTTTTACAGCACCTACATAACCTTTATTTTGTTTGTAGTTAAGCACAAAGCTACACAATGGAGTATCTGCGCTATGCCTACCACGGGTACCAAAACCTTTTTTTTTTTTAGTATTATAAGTCTTCAGACACATAATTTGAAGAAAGGTCATGTTAAATTTCAAACAATTTTATCTTGTAGTTTTTTTATTTTGTAATGAAGTAAAACAAACCATGTGACAGGTGCATTGAATTAATAAACCAAACCATTTTATGACTAATATGTTCACATACTTTTATGTGTATGGTATAAAGTTTGACATGAAATCATTTTAGGCATAATTGCTTTTACCTCTTAAAGTAATATTTTTTTACTTAGCTTGTTTTATGGATCAAAAAGTTGTTTGTGCAATAATTTCTTATTATATAATGTTCTGTACAGTATCGGGAGAAGAAGTACCAACACTTAAGACTGAAAAAGAAACAATGGAACAATTCTTTATGTCAGATGTGTCTGGTAGCAAAGTAAATCTGAATGAGTATTCATATGAGAAATCTCAACAGAAAATGCAAGTAGAAGACCAATTACCTTCTTTTTCTGAACTTCAGATGGACTTTGAAAATGAAAATGAGACGTCTTATATAGCACAAGCTCAGAAGAGACTTCTCTGTACTCGTCTAACCAAGTAAGTAATGTAGTGGTTTTATTTTGGATATTTTGAAAAATATGAAATTCATATTATTGTTTAGTTTTGTGTGTCAGTAATTTCTTGGTAAAAAAATTAACTTAGATAAATGAACCTTTATTTTGACCTTTCAGTTGCATAAAGACTTGTTGAGGTTAAAGGCATTGGATTATTGTTGTTATTGAATTTTTCTGAGTTGAATTAAAATAATAACCTGCCCTGTAACTTAAGAAAACTTACATCTGCTCAGTGTTCTGGCTTCCCACCTTTTTGAAGAGTTGAAATGTTAGGCAGTTTTTATTGATACTTTTTCAGTTATATACCTGCTTTTATTTTATAATACGTTTAAAGTTTTAGTTAAAAATTATAACTTTAAAAAATAATGAGTTTTAATTGCTTATTTTGGTGGGATATAACAACAACTTGAGTTTATTTCCTGCTGTATTTTCAAATCTATATCTTGATGTAGTTCAAAATTTTCTAGGTTAGGTAAATAATTTGTATGTTTTTTTTTTCTTCTTTGAATGATGAAACTTTCCAATATCAGTAAAGCGATACTTCTGTAGATAAGTAACAAATTTAGTAGATAAATTAAAAGTTATTCTGTTGATACCTCCGAAATTATACCTCATTCCCTATTTAACCCTATAATAGTTATTTATAAACACATTTTAATAAACTACTTTTGCATCAGACTTCTTATGGTCCATTACTTTATTAGTTACAGAATTAATTCCTAATAACTTAGGAATTGTACAAAAATGTTTAACATAAAATACCATCAAAATTGAAATGAATCCAACTAATTACTTTTTGTGTTCCCCTTTTATTTCACACAGAAAACGAGTGATTTCACCCTATAATTTTTGGCGGTTCTTTTCACTCAGAGTCATAAGAGGTACAAAAAAAAAGAAAAAGAAATCACTCAGTTTGATGTAGTTTGTGGACCCTACTGATAGTGAACAATATAAAAACAAATTTATAATTTGAGGATTAAAATGCAGTGTCTAAGTAGTTTTTATTAGCAAAAAATTTGGAACAGTTTTTATTGTTTTTGCTATTGATCTCTGTGGTAATCCAGCAGATTACAAGTTTTGTCCTGGAGAAGCTAAAATTATTATTGCAATCTCTGTTTTGTGCATTTATATATATATTTTTAATATCATGTTCTTTCTATCTTATGAACAAGACTCGCTGATACAGTTTAAAAGATAAGCCATGATTTGTTTTTGTAAGATTGAATGTTTGATTTGACCTGATAATTCCATATAACATTGATGTATTATTTATTGCTGTTCTTTGAAGTGAGCTTTGATTATTTTAGTTTTTTCTGAGCTGGTCATTTTAATGTTTTTAAACATAAATGTTTCTTTGCATAGTATCAATGCATATATTGTTTTTTTTTTGTAAAACTACAGAAATGAGTCATTTTCAACTCCCACACAACATGAATCTATTGGCTGACTTTAAAAATGGAAATGTTCTCAAACAAAAGCCGGTGTATATTTTGGCTGACGTAGTAGATATGTAAACTTTCAAAATTAGAAAATAGTTTTTGAGCTAAAAAATATAGAATAGTTCACAATTTTTTATGTATAGTTCACTATATCTCTGAAATAGCTTAAGTGCATTTGAAAATGTTAAACAACATTTTGTGTATTAGTACCACAGAAAGATGTTATAGTTAGGAAATGTTTGAATTTTAAACGTTTCATGAACTGTTAATAATAAGTTGTCTCTTATTTTTTATGTTGGGATAATGTCAAAGTATTTTGATAGGTTTTTGCACTTAATTGACTATAAGAAAGCAAGCCTCTTTCACCAAATGGTTGTAAACACAGCAAGTGATTTTTTAAACAAGTTGAAAGAAAAGTTAACAGGCCATACAACTGAACTACCTGACACTGGTGAAGAAGAGCATAATGTGATTGATATTGAAACAGAAATGGTTAGTGAGAAAACTTGCTGATTGAAAGCTGTTTTGTGTATGTGACATTTATAGAAAAAAATTCAATGTTTTAAGGAAACACTTAAACTGGCGACTATATTATTAATTACAGGACCAGTGTTCTTATTATTTTATTGTTTCATATCAATCTTTACAGATTTTTACTTGATATACAGTATTTTATCCTTTTTAGGATTTGTCATCTGGTATGAATAAACCATTTTTTATTGTCAAATTGGTTTTGGAAGAAAATGACCTTGCATTTCATCCTACCTTTGAGGAATTTTCAACAAATATTAAACAAGCAGTGGAGAAAAGTAAAAAAGCAGTGGAGACATTTGAAAATTTAGCCTCTGATGATTATTTTGAAAGCTTTACAAGGTACTATTTCAAAAATAAGATTTAAAAATAAGAATTGATGTGTATAAAAGGCATGCTAAAATAATCAGTATTTTTTCTGCTGTTAAATAGTGTTAAAAGTTTTTGAAGAAGTACTATAATCATAATTAAAGTGAATGTTGTAAGATCTAATAATATATTATAAAATAGTCTTTTTACTTATAAAAAAAAATAGTTTGCAAAACATACGTTTTGAATTCAGTAATAAATGCTTGCATCATTACTATGCATTTTTTGAAGGCTCACATAATTTCATTTAGAATGTGTTTTAAAATCAAATTATTTACTTTTATTTAATCTCTAACCAAATGCTCAAGATTTTCTTGAGCTAAACCAGAACATCTTTATAGCTCTTTTGTGTGTGTGTGTGTGTGATTTCTTTTTCAATATCTATCATTTGGGCAACAAAAGTTTTCATAATTATAGACATTTCTTAAAAGGTTTCATAGTAAATTAAATGAATAAAAAATAAGCTTTTTAAATCTTTCCATTGTATGTAATCAAGATCTTAGTATATTCTTACTTTTGAGGATACGTAATATTAAAGAAGTATTATGATTTTTTGCTACTCTGGTTTACAACAAATTTGTATCATTTTCACAATATTATTGTTTGATTAGTTCATATATGTTATTACTGTCAGGTTCCAACAAAATGGTTGACTTGTTAAAGTATACAAAGATGGAAATATAATTTTTTATCTGAAAGTTTTATGTTATAAATGAACTTCTAATAGATTTAGTGTTATGGAGAATATATAAAGACAGATTCAGAAATACTACTCACCTCACCCTAGAACAGATAGCTAATACCTTGTGCTAATGCAAAACATTTTTGAGTATATGCCAAACTTTGAATAAAACTCTCACACCTACATGTAATAACGTGTACGGTATTAGTCTATAGCCTTCCACCAATAGGAAGGTAACACATCCTCCATGTGAAGTACTCCCCTTGAGGTCTTATTATATACCAAAAGGTCATTTTTAACAAAAAGAGACACATACCAGAAGTGAGGAGGAAGGGTGGGTGGTTTTGTAGAGATGTTAGAATCATCTAGCAGGTTCAGATAAGGAAGTTTAAAAAATGAGCTCCTTTCTGAAAATATTTGAACAGATATGAAAAAATCATGGAGTGTGTCTCCAGGTAAGGGAATGTTAACTTCAGAAATGCTATTCACCTTTCTGCACAACAGATAAGTAGAACACACACTGAGAAAATACTGGAGGGACAGGTTTAGATAAAGAAAATTAAAAAATGAGCTCCTTTATGAGAATATGGTGACAGGTATAGGAAAATCATGAAGTGTGTCTCCTACGAGGGGTGGGGGAGGCTAGTGGGAGCCTGCATCCATCTCAAGCAGGGATTACTTTTTGCCAAATGCAAATGATAGAGTAGAAATAACCTGGTGCTAAAGTGTTATAAAGGTGAGTGGCATGTAAAGGCTGCTCAACCGGACTTTATATCTTAGGGGGTTGACAAACCAAGTATGTATAGTGTGGCTAGGGCAATTAGTCAAGCCGTATGATACATTAGAAATGCTTAAACGATACACTTATCAGAATAGGCAGGTGCAGAGATAAATGAAATTCAAGACCCATGTGGCTGGACACAACCACCAGAAATGGTGCAGTTCTTATTGTAGAAGATGGTCTGTACTACACTTCAGGGTAGACGCCCCTGCCCTATTACCAATTCAGGGGTGCATTCACTTGGTTTCATAACAGTGGGATTACACTGGCTTGTGGTGAGAGTTTCGTTCAAAAACTTGATGGATAACCAAATCAAAAGACTGAAACAATACCAGACTTTAAACTACCAGATGAACAAAACTGGAGGAGAGTGTTTTTTTACAGGATAATCCAAATTCAGATTGATTAGCGACAATCCATAATAGTGTATTTGATGGCAGAGAGGAGAACAATATCATAGTCAAAATACAGTACAGGTATGAGTTGCATTTCACTAGTGGTGTTGGAGATCTATACAAAATGGATGACAACCTGACTGCTGACAGGTACCAGTAGATTGCTATCCCTCATGTCATACCCTTAGAGACATAATCTATTGAGCAGTGGCTTATCTTTTAGTAGAAAAGTAATCTACAGCATGCATCTAATGTGTTAAAATTATACTTGGAGTAAAAAGTTTCTGATTGAACACATGCAGCCATGATTTAGCCTGTAGAATGGCCCAGTATGAATATTATTAAAGCTGTATGGGTTTTTGTGGAGCTGAGGAGATTAAATGACAAACAAACAACTTGGCTGACATATGTGGAGTAATACAGGTCATTTGGAACAATTTTTCACAATCATACTTTGATAAACTTGTTGTTTGCCATCCAAAATACAAATTTTAGAGCAAAAAACAAAATATTAGTGCATTGTTTAACTTATTGCTTTTCTTTTGTATTTGCAATATCAATGTATTGTTCTAATGATAAGTTGATCATTTTGTTGTAATTATTCATTGTTTGTAACTTGTATGTGTATCATCTGTGTATTTACATAATTATTTCTAATACCGAATTATGAAAATACACAAGCTATATCTAGATGCAGTGCTGGTTGATAATGCACCTTTTATACACAATTTCTAATACCGCGTGTATAAAAGGTGCATTATCAACCAGCACTGCATCTAGATATAGCTTGTGTATTTTTATTCCTTTTAGTCCTGTTATAAATGGTAAACAAGAAGAAAATGAAGTAGCTGAAGGTCCAGTTCTCTTAGAAATGTTTCAAGAAGATGAGAATTTGCATAAGTTGCTTCTTGATATTGAAGTGAGTATGGTGATATAAATGTATATTGAGAACTGATTTCCATACAAACTTGTCCACCACCTCCTCCCCACAATGTCTCAGCAGTAAACCTGAGGGCTTATAATGTTAAAAACTGAGTTTCAATACTCATAGTGAGCACAGCCCATTGTGTAGTGCTTAGCAAAGAGTAAAAATGTCTAAGTATTTGAGCTATATCAAAGTTCATATCCATAGCAGTATGTTGAGGGAACTTAAAAGAAACTTAGTCATATATGTGATACAAGGTTTAACACTCATTTTAATATACATGAAGTTAATTAAAAGATGATTTAATGATGTCAAGTTTTCATGACATTTTCATTTACCTACGAAATATTTGTTTACACCACTACTGAACATTTGAAGAGGTTAAAATTATCATGGTTGTTAAAGAAGACTAATTTTATTCTAAAAGTGGATTATGTTATTTGCCTTATATGCATCTTTATAGTAGTAAATCACTGTTATATGAAGTGTACTTAATTTCTAGATAGTTCAAATTATTAAACTTGTTGATAGGAGTTTAATGCCAGAGATAGTCTTGTATAACTCAGTGAGTTAATCAACAAAATGTCCTGTAACTTGACCTTGTTATTGTTAATCATAGTAACATAACATAACATTTTGGGACAAAATGGGACCTATTGGTCCATCTCGGCTGTTCCATCCTCAAAACTAAATCAGAGGTAAAATTGATATCCTTGTTATTACTAACCATAGTAGCTCAGAGGTAAAATTAGTGTTTCTGGTTGTACCATGCATGTCCAACAGGCCCTGGGTTCTATCACAAGACATGCAAAATGTCAGGTTATTACATATAGTAAAAGGTTTAGTGCTAGATGAGGATGCTTTTAATGACATGTTAATATTAACACTAATGGTAAATCAGGTCTGTGAATTTTAACGTGTGCTGTATAGTTTTAAATAATTTATTTTCATGTACTCTATAATATTTCCTGTATATTTATTTTAGTAGGGATAGCAGACTGAAACTAAAGTGCTGGCTTGATCATTTTGGCAATAGACAAAAGTGTTTCTTTGTTTAATTTCTAACATTAGGAAATATTTTGATTGACTCAATTACTTTAAATTAGAACAGCATTTTTTTTGTGTGCAAACAAAATTTAAAAACATTTTTTTTTTCATAGAATTGTTAACCTTGCAATGCAGTATAAGGGAGTACGTTTTTTCCTGGGATTATACTGTCCATAAAGTACAAATAGTTTGGCAGAGTTCTTTTCACATCTGTATAATTATTCCAATCTTCTATATCCAGTACTTTTAGATATATGTGGAAGAACATACTTCTAAACCATAAACTACTGTAAACTGACAATCACATTGTATTTTATCTTTAAAAGTAAAATTTACTGTTTCTTTAAACAGATACTGATAAATAGTTGTTAAATAATGGTGTGAGATTCATGTAGTGATGTACATTAAAAAAAAACATTGTTCAGTGAAATCCCAGAGAATCAACTTGAATTGAAACTGTAGCATTTATTGAGTGTGAATAATGTTTCTTGCACAGGCTCCCTAGATGTTCATATTACCCTTCCTCCTTCCCTTGTTGACAATCTGCACTGGTGGTTGGACAAGGATCATACTTTGGTGAGGGTTCCACTTCCTCCCCCATCATCCAGATTTACATCTTTTCATGGATGCTTCACTTCATGGCTGGGGGGCATGGGTCGAGCAAAAAGTTTGTTTCAGGTCTTCGACAGAAAGGTGACGTCCAGAGGGCTTTGGATCATTTTCTTCTTCTTGCCCACAGTTGTCTGGTTATGATCCATACAGACAATTCTACGGTCGTGGCATATATCAATCACCAGGGAGGCACCCCTTCTCCTTCCCTTTGTTCTCGAACGTTGAATCTCCTGTTTTGGGCCCACATGCAATGTATTCATCTCTCTGCATGTCATGTTCTGGGTGCTTTCCTTGGTTACGGATCGTCTTTCCCGCCCAGACAAAATTTTTCCGACGGAGTTACCTTTATATTCTCAGGTTTTCCAGTGGTTGTGCTGTGCACTGAGGTGGGTACCCCATACCTGGATGCAATTTTCACTATCCTCAATACCAAGTTACCTCAGTTTTTTTCTCCGGTACCTCATCCACTTGCTTTGGCTGTCGACGCATTCAGTCAGGATTGGACAGACAAATTCCTTTAGGTTTATTCTCCTATCAGACTGCTTCCCAGGGTGATTTCTATCATCTACTCTGTGTAAGGTCCTTCTGATTGCCCCATATTGGCTGGCTCAACCATAGTTTCTGTGGCTGCTTCAGATCAATCTCCTCCACTGTTGCCTCCTCTATCCCTTCTACAGCAGCCTCAGTCCCGGGTAGTTCATCTCGCCATTCCTGCCCTTTGTCTTCATGGCTGGCTTTTATCCAGTCCTTGGTGAGGAAATCCAATTTATCATGGCAAGTAGCTTCATTGTTGGCATGTTCTGTTCAACCTTCTTCCATGAAGATTTATCAATGAAAGTGGAACATCTTCTGCCTTTGATCTTTGGGCCAGGGGTTCTTCTCTGCTCATCCCACTGTTCCTATTATTATGGACTTCCTCACTTGGTTACTTTATCAGGGGTCTTCAGTCTCCTCGATTGCGGGTTATCGGGTGGCCTTATCCCACACCTTTCATTTTTCCTGGTACTGTAAAGTTTTTGCCTTTTATACCTTGTTCCTCCTGTTATGTTTCTTCTAGATTCATCATCCTCCATGGCATGCAGATCTTCTAGATTGGGATGTAAATGTGCACTTCCCTGTGTTGTGGGTCATGGTGGGTGCACTTGGTTGTTGCTCTATACTGGGGATGGTACTGGTATGAGGTGGTTCTGGTATGTTTGATTTGAGAGGGATATATCTGTATTTCATTCTGATCACATGTGCTCTGTTCACCAATCAGTAGTGATAATTCTCCCTCTGGTTGGCTGAACTTGAGATGAAGATGGTATGATCCTCTTTCCTACTCCTGCATGGATGTCAGTTCCTGGGGGTAGAGTATTGGATGCAGTTGACTTGCCAGTTATGCTTCATCATGCCCTATCCACTCTACTCCTTGGGACACCCCTATTTTATACCCACAATGAGATGTGTTCCTCATTTTTGTCTGCCTGACTCAGTCTCACCTTTTCCATGTCTGGACGAAGAGTATACCTGGTACAGAAGTGGTGCACTCTTCCATATATCTTCTTCTTTGAGGGTTCCCTCTTAGGAGGGGGTGTCTTATGGACAGTTTTGGAAGATGCTTCTCTTTTCTCCCTTGCACCGGTCCCTCCACCTATTCCATGTGAGATTCTAGCTATGTATGTTAGCAGAAGTAAGATACCTTGTTAGAAGTGATAATTATTTTGCACTGACAATATATTTCCAACAGGTACTTACTTCCACTCACTCTTCCCACCTTTCCTTCTGTTTACTGGTGCTTAGTTTCTGCCTAGATAGTTAGGTAGAATAGCATAGAGGGAGTCACATGTGTGTGAGGCATGTCTAGTGGAGGAGGTTTGTCGCATGATAATTTGCATGCTTGAATTAGTTAAACCATGTGAACTGAGAGGGTATGTAGGAATAAAAGGCTTGTGACATGCAAAAAAATATGCAACTAGAGGGCAGCATTGAATAAGAATAGCTATGTATGTGATCAGAAGTAATTACTTTTCAGTGTAGGAAAATTATAACTTTACTAAATGTAAAATGCTTTAGGGAATTGATTTTGATAACTTTAAACTAACCATATATATAATTTTATTATGTTAAAATGACCACCTGTTCAGAAACCCATGAAACTGTTCACTTTTCTTCACTGTTAAATAAGGTGATATGGATTTTTTATAGTCTGTGAGTTCTAGATATTTATTATTTTTTCTGAAATTTGAAGATTTTGTTTTATCTATTGAATGTTTAGCCTATGGTGTATTAATTTTTAGCAAACTCTCCAAGAAGCATTTGGAATGGCAACAAAGCAGGCTGAAAGTTATCGACCACTTCAAGTGTTTTACCTTGAAAATGAAAAATTGAATTTAGCAGAATTAGTGAAACACGAAGAAGGTAAGAAAAAGAAGTTAATATTCATTCAAAAAACACTTAAATGGATTTATTTAACATTATACTACTTAATAGTTTTGTTTTGAGTTTACTTACTGATTATAAGTGTTATTTTATTGCAAGTTACAATTTTTACAGTAAGCAAGAATATTTTTGAAACAGGTACGACGTTTTGATCACTGGTGTATTCATTCTCAAGCACTTGAGAATGATTACACCAGTGATCAAAATGTCATACCTGTTTTAAAAATATTCATGTTTGCTGTAAAAGCTGTAACTTATTATAAAATTATACTAGTTACACTATTTTAACATTTTTATCTTACCTCTGTAGTAATTGAAACCTTTATAGTTACTTTCTCTGTTTTGGTAGCTAATTAAGAAATTTGTAGCCATTACACTTCTAAAATGACCATTGACATATGGCATATGAAAAATATTATAAAGAAGCCTTCTGTATGCACTAATCAGAATTCAATAATAAAAAAAGGAAGTGCTAAAAACTATGCATTAACAGACGTGATTTAAATCATTGTTTCAAAACCTGAAAATTTCCAGTCCATCTAACAAACTTTACCTGTTCATAAGTAGTCTGGTATGATTCATAATACAACACAAAGTTAACAGGGACCACAAATAGATGTGTAGTTTGAAGTATATTATATATTTTTGTTTTTCTTGAGTGATTTGTTTAAAGTGATTGTCAGTGTTTTGCGATGCTTTTATCACACTTGTTACCATAGAAGAAAGGGATCAAGCTTTAATATTTGTAATTCTATTTAAAATATTATTACATGGAGAATGTTTTGGTGGGGGAAATACCTTATTGCCTATTATACTAGCCATAACACATTCAAGGTCAAGCTTTCATGATTAAGTGCTACCATATATTTGTCCTGCACAACTAAGACATATTCTCTATGTTTTGAATTTTTGGTGACCCCTGTAAAATGATTCAATACACACACATATCCAATCAGAGAACAAAGAACTGTGGCTTCTCTAACTTTAACCAAGGAAACACAAGATTGTAAAATGGCCAATTTGTATTCTTATGGAGAAAATGGACTAGCAATATGTGAATGGTTACCTTTCACTGATTTACAGATAAACAATACCATAAAAACAGAGATATGCAAAATTGGTGTCCTCTAGAGAAATGTTGCAATCCCGTTGTACAGGTTTGCAGTGGTCAATACTGAACTGTTACAAACAGGTAAAGTCTGGAAATACTACACACATTTTTTATATTATGAAGCTATAGAAAAGCTAGCAGTTATTATAGCCATGACTTTCACAAGGAAAAGCTTCATGCACAATATCCAATAAACATGTAAACTCTGCTTGCTTTACACTTTTGACACATGGAACTACTGAAAAAGTATATGCAACTGTCAAATGACTAACCAAATATTTCTAATCTACTGTAAAAGTTCAGAACATTATATCTGTTGAATATATAAATAGAAAAAAACAAGAGAATGCACCTAAAATCATCTAAATTTTAAAACCTTTACTTAGGAGAATGCTGCAGCTATGCTCCTTCAGTGCCCAACCTTGGACTCAAAATATTTCAGGCTTTTTTATTTCTTTTGCCTATTCTTATCTCTGAATTACTCATGTCAGGGCTTGTCACTTTAAATTTATGTTAGAGCTGTGAATAACACTCTAGAAATTTTTTGGGGGCTCAATTATCTCTATGATTAATAGTTTGTCACATATGCTACTGAATCTGAATATTTTTAACATAAAGTTTTCATGATGTATGTAGTTCTATATGGACGGTTGAGTACATTATATTATATTAAAACAAGTTACATGACAACATCATTCGATATAAATGCGTGATGGAACAGAATGCACCATAATTACATTTTGACATTGTTTGGCATTTTGTAGGTAGTGTTATGCCACCAAAAGTTGTTATCTTTTGGAAAGGGTAACAATGCAAAATATTTAAACACTCAAATTATAAAGAAATGTTCAAAGTAGGGGTTTAGAAATTCCAAGATGGAGATATCCCTTGTACATAATGGCATTGGAAAACAAAGGAATATGGGTCAAGATAGGACACCAGGACCATCCAAAAAGAGACCTGAAACAAGTTGTACCTCAGCTGTGATAAACAAAGTGCAGTGTCTTATAACAGGAGAGAATTCACAAACCAAAGTTCTGTAGCAAAATCCATCTTCTGGCCCCAGGCAACAGTACTCAACATAAAGAAAGATCTCCATCTGGAAAAGTGACACAAGTCACATATATACAAGTTGTTTCAATGACATATTCCTTCAACCATCATATACCTCAAGCAGCTAGAGAATGAAATGGATATTCATCCTATTTTATATGAAGACATACTCGTAAAGATACTGGCATCAACAGCTGTGAATTTCTATGCAATTGGACTGTTGAAATAGGCACTATGAATTACCATCCTTGTACAATAAATGGATTATGGAAAGCATGGAGAGAGGAATGGTGTATTTTAGACATAACAGCTTTATGGTATAGATTTTTCAAAGGAAACTATGCTGCAGGGCTATTGTCAGGATGTAAGGTTGTCATGTAAAGCATGACTGTATATTGCAACACTGAGGTGGTGAAGTTCGAAAATCAATTAGATATAATGTATACAACCTCTATACCCTTTACAATTTGGCATAATTTTTGAAAGACACACTCTGTGCACTAGCCAAACACTTTATGATGACAGATTTATATTATTTCAATCTATAAATATTTTTGTTTTGTTTTTTTCATTTCTCATAACATTAAGGCGTCATGTTACATTTTAATGAAATGCATACTTAAAAGAAAAACATGTTCTGTTCCATAAGTGTTTTTTGATCCCATCCTTTTTACTTATAATAAATTCAAAACCTAAGCCCAGTAATTTTCTTCAGATCTAATGTTTCTTAGATGTAATATTCTTCATTAAATATTTGAAAAATGTACATTGATTCTTCTATATTTTGCATTGAAAACAAACTTTTGTGCCTAGTAGTCTTGGGTGTTTGGATGAAATGTTTTCTGAGTAAGACTGGATAAAGATCTTTGTTTCTGTCATCTACAGATAATTCAGTTTTATTAAAAATTATTCTTTACAGTACGTTTTATTTACATGAAAAATACATAAAATAACAAAAAAGTTTCAATGAGACAGGCAATCGGTGATAGTGCATGACGGAAAGAATTTGTTTGTATGTATCTTGTAAGTTATATTCTATTATTCTTTAGTGTTAGCTTTGTTAATAGTATTGATTAAAATGTTATATATATATATATATAGTATGTTTTATTTTATTATTTTTGATTAATCTAATGTTTTAAATTTATTTATGACATATATTTTTCATCACAAAACTTGTTTCGCATTTTTAGCTTGCATGTGGATTTATGACTGATCTAAATCTCTTAAGCTGCCCTATTGTGAGATACTATTAGGATTAAGGCTGAAAACATCAATAACAGTATGGGTATCCAAATGATTAATCGTGCATTCTCAATTTCTAATTAGTACAAGTTTTTGTTTTTTGACACTGCAAACTCGTAGTTAGAATGGTACATTAAATTAGCAATATTATTTACTGAGTTAGATTTTGTGTTTTATAACTCTCTCTGATCAGAGGTAACTAATAATTGTTTTTCTAGATGTTCAGTTCTATTCCACAATGTTATCCAAGTTTCATGAACAACATAAAATGGTTGAAGCTGTTCCAAAGTTTGAGTCACTTGGATTAATACTCGTGGATAATACTGTTTTACGGGCAGAGATACTTCCTTCACCCTTGAAGTGTATCGAGGTTTGAAGTTTTCTTTGAAGTCTTTATTTTATTTTTGTCATTTGAACATATACTAAATTATTTTACTGTGTTCATAATTTAGTTAACTTATAAAAGATATAGTAATTTATACTCTTATAAGACAAACTATTTTTTTGTTTTACTCCACATAAAAATTATACTATTTTAATGCTCTACCATTTTTGTTTTGCTTATTATGTAGCTCAACTTAATTTATCAGCTGCCTTGATTATTATTATATTTATTTCATTGTTGTGCTCGTCTCGAGTATGGTTTAGAAAAATTAAAATGATATAATTTGCATAAGCTATTACATCAAAGAAATAAGGATTTTAAAGTTAACATTACAGGGCAGAAAAAATGTCACACAGTATTGTTGAGTATGATTGTTACACAGTAGTTTTTTGTTGTGGTGTAAGACTGGAACAAGTTTCTGAGATGATACCTCACATCTGTATACAGAATTGCTACGTTTTTTGCTCATCTGCCTAAAAGATTTGCATGCCACTAGTCTTGAGCTAACTCCCACCTAAATTCATGTGTTTAATGGAAACTGTGTTGGTGCATGATGACATCATCATGCAGCAATAGCCCTCCACCAATAGGAGAGTAACACGACTTCCATGTGCAGTAACTCCCCTTAAACAGTTGCTCTCAAGATAACTTCATTATTTTCCTTAGCACTGTCTAAAATATTCATTCAATTACATGAGATTTGCAACAGTGTATTAATACGTAATATTTATTCAGTTTTATTGGTTGTTTGTCATTAAGCACAAAGCTACACAATGAGCTATCTGTGCTCTGCCCACCACAGGTATCGAAACCCGGATTCTAGCATTGTAAGTCCGCAGACATACCGCTGTGCCACTGAGGAGCTCATTCAGTTTTACTTGTTTCTTTTATTCTTAAAGAAACTAGAAAATCTTTATTCTACTTACCCATTGTAACTTCTTAAGTAACAGTAATTTCTGATTTGTCCCATGATAGAGATGATATTCCTAACACAGGATCTTAAGTCTTTGAGGCTTCTGGGGCTCATTTTTTGTGGTGGACATGACAGCCATTATTCCGTATGTTGTGGGTTCCTTCCTGCACACTGGGCATCTTTCTCCCATCCATTTGGCCGACTTTCCTTCTCCCCAGTTTCAACATAATCAGAATAATGGTGACTTAACTTGCTATTTCCTCATCATGGTTTACTCTAGGCATGACTTTATTTATAGAGGAATATCGTCACTCTTCTATTCTCTTTCTTGACATGATTTCACAGGTGTGTTCTTTTCTTTCTCTTTCCCCTTTGTTTTCCCTTTTTCACCTGTCTTTTGGGTCCATGCAGACTTATTTCTTTATCAACTAACTGCACACCCATGCTAATATTCTTCTTCCTCCTGGTCTACTTGACTGTTTTATCCTGACTTACAGCCATTCTTTGATTCCCACTCTTGTACTGTCTTTTCCTTGTTTTCCTTAACTTCTGCTTTCCTTCATAATGCACACCTTTTGCACTTTTGTCTTTGTTACCACCCTCTTACATTACCTCTAACTACTTTATCTTCTGGCAAAAGCACCTCAATGTGCTCTAGGGGAGTATTTTCTGGAGAGGTTTGTTCTCCTCTTTTCACTGCATTGACCCACAATTCTTCTTCCATTCTATCCTTTCTTCCTTTGTTCCTCTGCTGTTGGGATGGGTTGCTTTCCTAACAAGTGTATGTTCCCTCACACTGCTATCTGTAATCTTTGTCCATCTTTTTATCCAGAAATTTATGGGAGATTAAAGGAAATCTTGATAAATATTTAAATGATAAGGGCTAAATTTGAGTGTTTTATTTTTATTTTAGAGTTTAGTACAGTGTATGGGCCAACTAGATGGAACAATGGATCTTTGTTTTTCCCTAAATGTTATGTTATGTGTTGAAATTAAATACACATGAAGACCGATAAAATACAATATTTTCAGCAAGTAAAGCAAACACAATTTTTTTCTTTCAGCATATTAGTAACAATTTAGCCTTAAAAATATGGAATGCTAATGCAATATTCAGTAAGGTTATCCACATTTTGCGAACTTGACATCAAGTATTTGAGTAATACCTAACATTACAAAGGATTAATTTCAATGAAACTTTTATTAAAAGAAAAGACACACACAGAACTAGGTATCATATATGTTAATATTTCTGAATACACTTATAATATGAAGATTATTTGTTCATAAAGGAACTACATGTGCAATTTTTGTTTTAAAATGAAACATGGCTTTAACATGTTAAAATATTTCATTTTAGCTTGTCCTTTTTTTCTTTACAGATACTTCACAATCGGCTTCCAAAATTAGCAAAAATAAAAGTGGACTTGCTCTCAAATGAGACAAACACTGCCCAATCAAAATTAATGTCCACCCCTAAAAGCACAGTAGAACTTGTTGAGAGGCTGATATTTCTTGATAAGATTGAGCGAAGGGTAAGTTTCAACAAAAAATTTTATAAGCGCATAGAAATTAAATTTCCATGTGTTCTTTGTATCACTATAATGTCAGGTAAAAAAAAACACATTGGAGAAGATGATGTACTCATTCATGATGCTTAAAAAACATGTAGATAAATCAGTGTAATTTGTTTTAATTGAGCTATCTTATTTTTATTGTTATTTTAATTCAGAATATATACATGATGTAGATAATTTTAATGTAACTTTTTTCATGTGCTGATGCTGATTTTATTGTTATTTTAACATTATCTATGTGAAAATTACTCTCCAACACCTCTTCAGCTTGGATCTTATAACATTTTATTAATGTTTTGAAGTCTTGTATTTGTAATTGTTTCTTCATGTTTCTTTTCTCCAAAATCAAGTAGTATAAGTTCCTAAACTGAATTACATAAAATATATGTAATGTCTTTTATTGTAGAATATGATGTGTTATTTGACCATAATATATATACATGATAACCATTAGTGAATTTAGAGCTCAAGTTTATTCCACGGTGTCTTATTTGAAATTTTATTTTAATTCTTAAATTTAACAGATATTCAAAACTAAACTAGACTTATATATTCTGTAATGTGTTACTGGCCCATTTTATAGTAAGCTAATTTTATTTTAATGAAAAATAATTCAATCCACCTAATTCCATTACATTTTATATTTATTTATATGCTATTGTGTTATAATTTTGATTCCATTAAATTATGATTGTGAACACAGTATAGAACAATTTGTATGTTCTTCACAACTCTTTCAATCATGATCATAATTCACATGCATTAATATATACAATAATGTGATTAAGTTCTCAAGTTTACTATACAATACTCATTGTGTTAGTTCTTATCCCAGAAGAGTAATTATAATTTTATATTCCTGATATGCTTGAAATGCATCATAAATAGCTTGTAAGTTGCAATAAGAAACAAGTGTTATGAAGTGTTATCAAGTTTTTTACCTCAGTACATTTTCTTTTATTTTTATAGTGTATATAATGATTCTGTTTTAATAAATACTGATACCTTTTGAGTAATCCATAGTACATTGTTTGTGGTACAAAAAACTAGTACCAGGTAATATATTTCAAATTAATTACCTTCATTAGACATATGTTTCCAATTCTACCTGTATTTATTTATAGTACCCTTGTGGGTCAGATGCAACTTTTTGGACTTACGATGCTAAAATCCATGGTTTGATTCCCCAGTGAACAGATAGCCCATTCTGTGACTTTGCGCTGAAGGAATCGAAGTTTATATATATAATAAGTTACTTACCATCACCCTTGATTACATACATGATCTAAAACTCTGTCTATAAGAATGATAATAAGCTTTGAAACTTAAAATTGTAACAGATAGAAGACATGGAAGCAGGCTTAAGTGTGACTAGACAGTTTTATGATTTAATGGACTCGTACAGTGTACTGGTTCCTCCTGAGGATATTGCTGGATATTCAGTAAGTTTGATTATTGTTTCAGTATGTACTTTTTTTATAAAGCACATTTGTTAAGTTGATGTGTTTCTTTTAAGTTCAATATGTAGTTTTATAAGACTCCATGCTGATACATTCAGTTAGATATTGATTACCCTTGTCAGTATCTCAGTAAAATTGTTACAATTTTCTACTGGAATGTGAATAAATTTAATAAAAGATTGTTAGATCTATATCTAAAGAAAGTCTTTATTTTCCAATCTCAGTTTTATGGAGGTACTATAATATTATCATTCATTCTTAACAGAAATGCTGTATCATATTTTATGAAAAAAATGTATGATATTGAGTTTTAAATATCATGAAGCAGAGTTTTAAATGTACTGATGGTATAGATTTTACCTTTTTTTTCTGCTGGTTATATTTAATTTTTTTGCTTTATATTATAGTTGCTGGTGTTACGTTCAAAGACATAAAATAATGTATTGAAAAATTCACTTTATTTAATATTCTATTTTTATGATTAGCTTTTTAATAGTTCAGGTAATCTTATGCACCATTGTCCATCAAATGTTCATAAAATAGGATGTGATCAGTAGTTAAATATTATAAGTACAATATCATAAGCAGATGCATGATTGTTTATATGCACATGCTACGTGATCAGCTTGCAGCTATATCAGCTAGATAAAAAAAAATGTGGACTACATAAATTTTATAGACATAGGTTGTAACTATGATCTAACCTTTGAAAGCTAAGTTTTCAGCTCTATACATCTGACTTGAGGGATCTGTATTGAACAAAGCAATTCCATCACAGCATTGGTACCTAAGACATGAGTCTCTTACGTTAGTATGAAGACCACCACTTCTAAATTCTGACATGGCTATGCTCGAGTGCTCTGGACTGAAAACAAGAAGGATAAGTTGTATAATTTACCTTTGCATTGTTTTCAAACTGACTGTGACCTGTTGGCATCTAAGGTTGTACGTAATAATTGAAACAGTGCAATTTTTACAATATGGCTTCAAGGAAACAAAATAAGTGAAAAGGAGAAAATCTTATGTTGATAAACTAGAAACGTCTTTGACCCAGTGCAGACAGCATTCCTGCAAGAATAAAGGTAAAGTTAGAAACAGTAATGTTGAATATGCAAAACAAGTTTTAGCCATTACTCCAGCCAAAGAAAAAGATGTCACCCTGGCCAGATGGAAGAAAAACTATAGCAAAAATATCAGCAAAATCCAGGAAATGTTGAGAGATAGCTCTAAGAAAAGCTACAAGAAGGGTAGGCCTAGAGCCCAGCCACTCTTGAGACTTAGTACCAAAAACAGCTAAGAGACAAGTGTAAAAAGGAAGTAGGAATGGGAGCACCAAAAAGTAAGGAAACAAGGTAGGAATGGGTGGGATAACATTACAACACTTGGTTGTTTATGACATGGTGCAACCTCAAAGTGGGTGAGGCCATCATTCTTCCCATTTCTACTTTGTGTGGTTTTTGTAACTTGGTAATTTGTCAAACTAAATGAAAGATGTATATAGCTAAATTTCTCTGTTTTAAACTTTGTTTTAGCAACGAAGTACAAATTCATGTGTGTAATCAAATTACATGACCATAACAATGATATCATAATTGGGGTGTTTGATGTCAGAAATGAGACAGGAAGTTCCAATAGTCATATTTTGCTTATGGGAGACATTATAGCTGTCAGACTGGTAAGGGGGTAGGCCAAAAGAATAGTATCAAAACTGCTGATTTTTGAAATTTTTGAATTTGTTGAGTATTTAGAAAGGATTAGCTACTGCTAAAACTAAATTCAAGTCTATAATTGGACCAAAGTTCAAAGTAAAACACAAATTAGAAATGGGCAGAACAATGGCCACACCCACTTTGAGGTTGCACTGTGTCAAAAACCACCAACTGTTGTAACGTTATACCACCCATTCCTACTTCCTACTTTTTATTTCAAAATGTTTTACACTTGTAAGACTACAAATTAAATGCAACAATTCTGATTCCAGAATCATTGATAATATCCATTATTGAGGAATTTAGAGAATCAAAATGATTAATTGTCTTAATGAAAAAGCTGGTCTTTTCTATTCCAAAATATATAACATATGGAAGATTCAAACTGATAATAAATTTATATAATTATTTGTGATTCATATTATTTCTTCAATTTAATAAAAATAGTGATTATTTATCAAAAGTTGTTTTATTAAATATGTCTACCCAGTTCCTGTATTCTTACATTATTACTGTATTTTCCCACATAAAAAACTTCATTTCTAGAGACTAATATGTGAGAAGTTTGCTTATAGCTATGTGACCTTTCTTATCTTTCTTTATTCACATCTTGTAGGCTTTCATTTTTTTTTCTTTTTATTAGCTTCATTGTAACTTCATTGATTGTAACCTTGTAAACTTTAAGCCTTTTACAACACGATTGATGCTATTGTCCCCTGTAAATTTATACTGCACTTTTTTATTCATGAAAGTCAGTATCAAATTTGAGAACACTGATGCTCCGGAACAGGAAATCACATGTTTTTGTATCATTCCAACTATAGACTGCAATAATTGTATTTTATCAGGGTTTTGGATATGGGCTGGGATTCTTTTAATAATAAACAGACAGCACATAATCTATTTGTTTTAAAATAATATATTCAAAACAAGTCCAACATATGTACAAAAATTCTTTACACTATAGGATATCAAAGTTGTATCTAAAATTCTAAATAATTCTCTTTTTTTTCTTGTTATCACAATATAATTAGTGATAAGTTCATTTACGTTCTTCCGTGGGTTACCACAGTTGTATACAGAGCTTTAAGTAATTATCTTTGATGTCAAAAGTCCACACAGTCTTGTTCAGTTACTTTAGAACCCAACTTACAAGTTGAATTATTCCTTCTCTACTCTTTTATCACAATAGGATCAGTGATAAATTCACTTTTGTCACCCCATGAGTTACCACAGTTGTATCCAGAACTTTAAATAATTGTCTCTTTTTCTTCTAAGTCCACACAGATGGGTTAAACTACTTTAGAACACCCTTTGACAAGATAAATTATTCTCCTTACCTCTATTAAATTGTGAAACTCACTTTAAAATATCTCCCGTTAAGGCTAAACTAACAATCACGCAGTCTAACTTCACTTTCACTGAGTTAAGGTTTTCTGACTCAATGTATTTGGGCTCACTTGGTCACCTATATTTATATATATACATTGCCCAACTGAGGCCTAGAAATTTCTACAAACTATGAGACGCTATGATGTAACAATACATAGTTAAAACAATGAGAAAAATACAGAAGGTTCGAGTAATGTGATGTCAAATTGCAACAACTGAATTACACACACAATGTACGACTCTTAACGAGTTATGTAATGAAACTTGTCATAACTATCACATTTGAAATAATTTTTTTAACACTCTTGTTATGAAAACTAAATAATCATTAAATATCAAATCACTAAATATGCTAAATAATAACTCTTAAACTAAACAGTCTTGTATATACAACATATTTACTTGATATTTAATGCTGTGTCTTGTGAGAGAAGAAGGAGCCATAATTATTTTATAATGTAAAAATACTCATCTTGTGTGGTAAGTAAAACAAGAACAACCAAAAACAAATGATAGAAAGCATAATTGAAAATTAGATGTTAGCCTTTAGAGCAGCATTTGTTTTTTCATAAGTACTGTATGTTTTTAATATAACTTAGAATATTGTTTTTATTTTTATATAGGCTTTAGGTGGTTTGCTAAGTCATTTGCAGACAACTATCGAAAATGAATCTTCAGAAAGAGAGACATACATAACAAATTTGAACACATCACTTCTTAAGGATATTGAAGAACTCAAACAAGAAGTGAAAGAGTTAAGAAAAGATGTTGAGGTAAGAAGGGTCAGGCATTGTTGCAAAGTCATGCGTGCTCTACACGTTATGGCTATGGGTGCAGCATAAGGGTGACAGTCAAATCCCACTACTTGCATGCAGCCCAAGGGCTAGAAATGAATGCTGTTGACTAGTTGCCTTCTCTCTAGTCTAACAGTTCAAACATTAGAGACAGCTAGTGCAGATAACCCTTGTGTAGCTTTGCATGAATATCTGAAATAAACAAACAAGAGGAAATAAAGAAGCTTTTACAAATGTCTTTCACTTAACTTACTAAGACAAGTTAAAAATAAAATTTTACGTACAGAAAGATTAGCTCACCCAATTTAAGGATGGAAAGTCAATGTAATACTCTTAGTATTATCTTGTGTGAAGTTAAACATGAAGAATATTCTTGAGATTTAACAGTTTTATTTGCTAGATAAAAAGAAAGTACCTACACAATATACCTAGTTAAACAGATATCAAATACAAACATTCATCTTTTCATCAGAGTAAGGGTTGTTCTCCTCTAACATGTTGTTATGTGGTTGCTTTTATACTCCTATATATCCTTAGTCTAATAAACATGCACAGGATGATAAAAAAACTTATTATTACAATGAATGAAATAAATATTTTTGACAAAAATGTCACTTTTTAAAACTCTTTATTGGTTAATCCAGAATATGACACCAAAGTTCACACATTCTCGATACCATATGTTAACATCTTATGTTAACTTGAAATTTAATCATAAGTTTTAGAACTCAAGATGATTTTTAATGTAAAAATGTCTATTTTAATTTGTTAGGTTTTGAAACTGAAATGTTAGTGCTATAATGTCATCAAACATCTCCTTACTGTTTTTTATATTATATATAAACCATTTCCATAATGTAACTTATCTTTCTGTATCTATGTGAAAGGGAAAGAGTGGAGGTGTGTATTGTGTGCCTGGAGATGTATATATGTGTGATTTGGAATTGTAAGAGTCATTAACAAAATGAGGGTTTGAAGTGTTACAATTTCCTTTGTTGTTCTTAACAAACAAACAAACAATTAATTGTTCTAAAAACACTGTAGTTATTTTTGTGCAATATATATATATATTTTAGGAGCCATTTCTTATGGATGTGAACGCCGATCCACGGAAAGTTACAGACTTACTTGCTTCCTTGGCTGTGAGGTTTGAACAAATAACAGGACAAGCATCCCAATATAAAGAATACCAGAGAGATTTTCAGGTTTGAAATTTTAGAAAAGAGAATGTTTATAATGATAGTAAAAATGGTAGCAATGAAAATGTTGTAATATGAAAAAAACTTGCATAAAAAGTGTCCATACTTGAAATTTTAATATGTTTTAATTTTTAAAAACGGAAATTTTGATAATTTCATTTTTTCAGAAAAACATCAAACAATTAAACACACTGTAAGAAATTTCAGTTTTACAGCTAGTTTTTTGTGAGTTGTGATAGTTCTTGGTTTATCAACTTAGTCTGTTGTCACTTAGAGTTAAAACTTTATAGCTTGAAATCTCGTATTTATTTACACAATACTTTACTGTTTTTTCAGCATCATTTACCAGATACTGATGAACAATTAGCAAGAAGAAAATGATAGCATTTTAGGCCAACGAATATTATTTTTTCTCTTCTCATCTCCACTCTAATAAATAAGTTAAATTTTTCACATCGCTCTTTATTACTGATGTATTAATGTTAACTTATTCATAAAAAAAATGTATAATAACATTTTATCTAAAGTTAGGTATGCTTTACATAAAGAACACAACCATTATCTCATGTTTTTAATATGTTTCATTATTATATATTTTCTATTTGTGCATTAATGTGGCTTAACAGAGCAAAAAAAAAATGTAAGAAAATAACAAAGAGCAAGAGATGCAGTATATATATGTATAGAAAATTAATAATTAAACAGTCAAGCAAAATAAAATCAAAAGGAAGGACTGTGTTAAAAACAGCAACTCCAAACCTGTGATAAATGACATTTAAATGAATAAAAACAAGCCCAAACAAAATTAAATTAAAGATGCTGCATAAATTAAAAGGACCTCCAGGGTGCAGGCTGTAATGAGGGATATAAAATGTGCCCTGGGTTGTGGAGGTGACTGCAGAAGTAGGACCCACATTGTGGTGGGGATACACTGTCTATCAGTCTAATCCTCCAATCCCCAGTCTCATATGAAGAAATTATCAAAAAAATGCAAGTTGGAGAGCGAGATGTGGGTACTCAAGCCCACAACGTCCCACATCTATATCACCCTTCACTGCTGCATACAGTTGTGGGAAGGTGACTGCTCTCCAAAATAAAAATATAAAAGAAGGAGAAAAAACAATATATATATATCTAAAAAAAAACGAAATAAGGTAGTACCTTATTTATAGCCTGTACCCTGGGGGTCTTTTTCATTTATGAAGCGTCTTTAATTTAACTTTGTTTTTGTTAATTTAAAAAATCATTTATCACAGGTTTGGATTTACTGTTTTTAAGTATTAATTTTCTATCTATATATATATAACAATAACAGGTTTAATAAATAAACTTAGTATTACAAAAACTGTTTAATCTCGAAGTCTAATTTCAAGGGAGGTCCAGTTCAATCTACGCTTTGATCAACATGTGTCAAGTTCCTTGATGCAGCTCCAATGGACAATTGTGCTTTTGTATGTTAAAACGTGGCCCTGGAAGCTGACATCCAAGTACGTTGAAGAGTCAGTAGACAATTTGTGGTTTACTTCCCTACCTTTTGCTGTAGCGCCAAGGGCAGCACGTGACCTGGAACATATTTATTATCTCCACCACCGAAGGTGGACAAAGGTGGTTTTCACCCCCCGTGTGTGTGTGTGTTTGTTAACAAGATTTCTCAAAAAAGGCTGAATGGATTTGGACGTAAGTTCATATACGTTTGGACTATGACCCAAATTAGAAGTTATTAGTTTTTGAAGGGTCAAGGTGAAAGGTCAAGGTCACAAAAATCCAAAAGATCCGTATCTGTTAACATGGAGACCGATTTTTCATACTATTTTTGATCTATAACTCAAAAATTGCCGGATTTTGGATGAAACGTGGTGGACATATGTAGAATGTTATTCCTCGTTGTTCTACCAAAAACAATCCGTGTCCGTTGATAACGACGGATATACGGACACGTTTTTGTATTTTTTAAGAGCCGAAATTTATCAAAGCTGCGTGGCGGAACTATCTTTTTTAAAAGTCAATTTCGCTAATAGTTCAGGTTCAAATGTTTCACTGTTTGTAATCCTGTCTATATGTTCACTCAGTATGTCAGCTAACCCGCGTGCTTTCTAACCAGTAAACACAGTAAAGTGTATTTGTAAAATAACACTAATTTGTTCAACGAATTCAAATTCAATCTGAAA